GTTTTCATATTTTAAATATTTAAATGTATTTATTTATTTAAGAAAATTAATGAATTCTGGGTAGCTAACAACAATTAACCAAAAAAATACCTTCTGTAAATCAAGCAAAAAAAAAAAAAATTAAATGATCATTACATAATAGCCAATGCACTATATAACAGACTCAGCCACACAAACCACACCTATATTACACTCGTCTAATATCCTGACTCAGCACCTGGGGGGAAAGCCAGGTTTTCACAGCCTTCCAGAAGGCCAAGAGGGTTGGGGCCCTTCAGATCTCCAGGGGGAGGCTGTTCCATAGGTCAGGTGCCATGACAGAGAAGGCATGATTCCTCATTCCCACATTGTTTAAAAACTTTGTTTAATAGAGGGGACCTTGGATGGGGACCCCTTGGAGATAGGCAGTCCCACAAGTAACCTTTAAAGGAAATAACCAGCACATTGAATTGAACTTGGAAGCATACTGGAGTGCAGCTCACGCAACAGCAGTGTAATTCAGGCAGATCTTGGGTGCACTTAAACCTGTGTGCATCACTGTATTCTGGATCAGTTGAAGTTTCTGAGTTTTTTTTTCAAGGGCAGCCCCACATAGAGCACATTGCAGTAATCCAGTTGGGAAGTGATATGACATAGTGAGTAGGGCCTCCCAGTCCAGGAATAGGTGCAACTGGCACACAAGATGGGTTTATGCAAAAGTGCCCCTAGTCATGACTGCCACCTGTTCTTTGAGCAGGAGCCATGAGAACTAGATTGTGCATCAGATCTGTCCAGGGTAGTGCTCTGCCATGAAAAGTTAAAAATGAAGTATCTCCAGATCCTCGAGGGCCCTTTGAAGCTGTGCACCTACCACTTTTCAACAGATTTCCCTAAAATGAGAAAGTTGGAGACTGGAGGCAAAAGGTATCTAATACTGTTGGATCCAAGGATAGCTTCTTAAGAAGGGGATGGACTACTGCCTCCTTCAAGGCAGATGGAACCATCCCTTTCCAAAGAGAAGCACTGCTTGTACCCAACCACATGCCATCTCCCAATAGGCCTTAACCAACCAGGAGGGACATGGATCTAAAACATAGGTGGCAGAACTTACAACACCAAGGACCCTGTCTAATTCCTCAGGACCAACTTCTTAAAACTCTTCCTAGATAACTGGGCAAGACTGCACTCCAGTCACTTTGATAGAATCTGGCAAAATGGAGTCCAGCTCTAAGCAGTTCCAAGTGATTTTATTCGGCAGATGCCTAGAATAACAGTCCCTCCCAGGCCTCTTCCTACAAGGAAGGGACCTGACACAAGACTGGCTACCTGCAGACATGATAAGAGCAGAGAAGTAAGCCTTATCACCACAAAGTAAGTCCTAAGAAAGGTATTTACCTGGGCTCAATTAGATTTGCTCTTTGTTTTCCCCAGTGGTGATTTAATATCAGATATCAAATGTGAATTTTGTTTGAAAAATTGTAGCATTTTACTGTGCCATGTTCTGGATGTGTAGTTTTGAAAAGTTTTGAAAATTATAGATAAACTAGACCTTTCTGGTGTTTTAGTTAGAGCAGAGGTGATTTAATGCTTGTTCCCTAAAACACAACATATTTGTATATGCATACTATGCAGGTATATCTATATTTACTAGAGTGCTTTTAAATATTTGTTTTTAGCAAAAGTCAAAGAGACTTCATGCAAAAAGGCAAGATGTGCAACAGCAGATTGCCCACAGTAAAGAGCTACAAATTGAAGGTGGTCTGTCTCCTGCTGTGCAAGAAGATTTATGGAAGTTGGAGAGTACATTAGAAAGCATGCAGCAATCTATGGAACAGCGTGGAGATCAATTACAGGTAAGTATTTTCCTTGAAACTCTGTAGAGAAATAAAAAATTGTCACTTTACTTAATTTATACTTAATATGAGCTGTCATCTGACAGGCTTTTCCCAGCTTAGCTAAGTTTTTAAATACAAGAATCTGGCCAACCTTGTCAGAGGTTGGGGTCAAATAGGGCCAGACATGGTTGGTACCTGAATAGGACACTACCAGGTTATAGCTCTAGGCTAGGGTAGGAAATAAATAATCCCCCTCCAGCAATGCTGTTTCAGTATTGTTGCCAAGAAACCTACATGATTGTGTCCATATAGTCACCAGGAATAGAGACTGACTCCAGGACATCTTTATTTTTTACACTATGAAATGGCCAGTAGCATTAACTTTTCATAATCTGATTATAAAGTTCAAGTACTAGGTCATCTAGAGTTCAACTACAAAATGGGGTATCATCAGACTTGGCGATGGCTCTCAACTTTAAGACATTAAAGAAGGCACAGACAAATTCATGGAAACTAAGCATATCCATGGCCACAAGTCATGATTTTTAAAAATAATTTTCTGAAACCCACATTAAGAAAAAAAATCATGTGTGATACACACACAGACACACACCCCTATGCTATATGTGCGCACACACACAAATCTCTAGATATGTAAAAGTATTGAGATTAAAACCAACTAACAAGCTAACATAAACATTTAAAAAAGGAATTAAAAAATTAAAAAGCAACAATTATTCTAAAAGTTCCAATGCTATTTTCTGCATGCAAAAATAGAAGTGGAATACCCATAGGACTTAATTAGCCACTGTGAGAAAGAATGCTGGACAAAATGCACTTTCGAACTATTCTAATAGGGAAGTCTGATGTTTAAAAGAGGAGAACCACACTATAGGTCATTCTCACATGGCACTTGCACAGTTCTTTTATTCTTAAGACTTGGGAATAATAATCTAAAAATATCAATAATCCAATTATCAGATGGTTTTTGAATAGAGCTTGATAATTAAACTCTAGGAGCTATTTTCCAATGGTTGTTTGAATTGTGAGTATTCAAATAAATACTTTTTGCATAAAAACCTAGCTAAGAAGTAGCACCAAGCAAACTTGGCTAATTTCACAAAGGCTTTTGGGGTCATATCTCAATACTCTATGAATGGGAGACAACCAGGAAATACCAAGACTACAACTAGACTGGAAAGCTGGGGGGGAAAATCATCGTGGATGACTGGAATGGCAAATCACTTTTGTGTTATCACCTAGAAAACTACATGGATTTGTCAATGAATTCACATAGAATTATCTCAGTACATGAAGAAAAGACCCTTTACCGTCATGTTCTGCATTCAGGTTTCCCATTGATCTCTGTAGCTAATAAAATGCACGATTCTTGGATCTAGCAGGAGTTTTCATTTGTTTTTAAAATTTTAGATTCTGAAAGAATAATGTAAATTCAGGTAAATATGTTCGATACAGCTTGATTTTATGAGCCAGAAAAATTTCATTATTCATATGTGGTAATTATGAACTTTAACTTCCTGTTCTTCTTTTACTGTTCTGTTTCTTCTTCTTCTTTTTTTGTAGCTCACAATAAACACATGGGAACAGTTTGAAAGAGACAAAGAAACAATTGTCAAGTATCTTAGCCATGCAAGCTCTGCCCTTGAGCGCATCTTAAGTTTTAGCAGCTTGGAAAGTTTGTCAGCAGAATTAGAAAAGACAAAAGTATGTGTCCTGGAGGATTTTAACTGTTCTGTCTGCTACTATATTAGATTCTTGTGTGTTTCTTTTTGCTAAAAAAATGTGTACTTCATTAATACCTCCTTGCCTTGAATGTTGGTCAGGCAGGTAATACAGTGATTTCAAAATATATAAATATATACCTAAACAATATTAAGATAATTGGTTTTTAGAACTATGTGTTGTTTTCCTTTATGTTTTCCATCTGTTTTTGATTATTTCTGTAAATCACCCAGAGTCACATTGTTTGAGTTGGGAAGCCAAATAAATCCTGTAAATAAATAAATAAAGCCACAACCTGGGCCCATCAGAACACAGTATTGATGGATTCCCACATTGAAAAGATGCGTATTTCCTTCTTTTCAAACTGACATATAAAGCGGCAGATGATTACTGAAAATGAAAAGATGATATGCAAATCCCATGATCCCTTTTCTTTATATGATTCAAGTGAATCATGCACTAATAGCAGAACAAATATAAAACTTCAGCCAAGAAATGTTGCAATCATCTTGGGACTGGTTCCGGCCCTAAGAATACTGAAACAGAAGGGAATTCTGTACTATTTAGCAAAACTTTGAGTTGTATATGGTGAGAAATTCCCCTGTTTAAATCAGATATTCTTGAACTGGTAATTTTTGAAAACCTATTTTGGTATTTCTTTTTTATAAGAATATGAAGTAAATTCCAATAACCACCCCTTGTTGGCAAAATATTATTGAGAATAATGTTTAATTTGTGCCTCCTCCTTTCCACAGGAACTTTCTAAGCAGACAGTAGCCATGGCCATGGAAGCGGAGAATCTGGTCAAGAAGTCTTTTGCCATACAGCTTGGTCAGAGGAGCAAGGAGAGCCTTCAGCAGCAAGCAAAGTCAATTCAGGAACAAGTTCAAAAAGTAGAAGCTACACTTGAAGAAGAGTATGTTCTTAAATAGTCATAATATTTGTTCCCTGACATGAAGAATGTATCTTTTTTGCCTTATTAATGCAGTGTTGAGTCTCAAAGACTTTGTAAAACTGTCATAAAATAGTAACTTATCTATCAGAAACTACTGTTTTAATACCGGTGGGGGGGAGGAGGACCTGAAAAAGAAAGAAAACAGTGACACATTATCTAATTGGAAATGCTTGAAAAAATATCCTTGGTCCTTTAAGTGTCCTTATAATTGCTTTATGAAGCAACCATTGTGAATCCTATTTTATGCATTTAAGCTGATTCTTGTCAATGAAAGAAATACTTTGAATTGGACATAAATTCTAAAGTCATAGTAACACACTTCAATATTCCGTAACAAAAACAGAAAATTATTTGATAGAGGTTAGCATAGATAAATAATGCCATCTCCTAAAGTGCCTTAGGGCATTTAGAAAAATCTATCAATCTACTTTTTAAAATATTTTTTCTTTACTTTGTTCAACCGAGTGCATAAGAACATAAACTGTGCCTTTCTCTCATTGAAATGTGCCCTATTCCCTTTTGTCATGCTATTACAAGTGATAGATAAAATAACTACCCTTATTTCTTTGTATCCTTGTATTTATTCACCAGGATCTGGGCTACAGATCCAGTGTTAGAATCTGGAGATCAGAAAACATAGTGACAGCTACATAAAGGTTACATAAAAGCAATGATATAGCAACTTTTATCACAATGTGTATTTAATGCTTCATACTCTGTTTCATCTTCACCAGAACTTTAGGAGACAGGGCAGTATTATTCCCATGTTACAAATAAGTTCATGAAGCTGGCTTAGTAATTTGTTCAAAATTGCTTAATTCCTGTGCAGGGAATTAAGCAATAGTATCCTGGGTGTATTTCTAGTGCTTCATATTCTGGACCATGAAAACTCTTAGGAAGTTGCCAGTGATTTATTTGCAAAGAAATAACTGTATTCCTTTTCTTGTACATTCCTTTTACACTGAGGCACATAAATAATTGAGTTTATCAAGTTCAAGTTTGTTAATGCATTAGAGAGGAGCAACATTTTAACATAACCATTCCCCTCCCTAGTAGTTTCATATGATTTTTTTTCCTTGCAGATTTCTTCATCTTTTTTTTTTTTTGCTCTGCCCTCTCTACCTAACATCAAGAGTAAAAGAATAATTATTTTCCATGAAGCCTGCTTCTTGCTTTGCAAATTATTTAGAACTCTTTTTTCATTTGCCACAAATGAGTAAAGAAAGGCATTGCTTTTAGTGCCTCTGAACTGCATTCTGTGACCTTTATTTTTTCCTTCTGAAATATCCAAGTAGTTGTATTGGTCATGACCATTTTTAGTACATGTTTTGAACAGATTCTTAGTTAAACATAAAATACCTAACTGAAACTAGATGTTGTTATTTTAGCAAAATATGCATGGATACCTACCTGACTGATTAAATATTTTGGATATAAGTTTGCACAAATGTATGGTTCAGTTGTATAATTTTATGGATTCTAATGCATTTGCATACTGTGTAGTCTTGCAAAAGGGATTTTAAAAATGCCCAACTTCATTCAGTAACAATCTTCCTTGCTAGGGGTGATAGCAACTGTATCATCAATCATACAGAAAGGCATATTTATTCCTTTGGAATTTCAGTCATTTTCAGGAACGTAGACCTTATAATGTATTGGGAAGCATTCTTCTAACGCACTTATGGCATAAACACAATATGTGAGGTTGATTATAATATAATAGTTTGTTAAAAGCAAGTCTAGTAGAAGGAAATGGTAATATTTTAACTTAGAAGCACAGTGAAGGAATATTAAGGAATAAAGATCAACATTGGCTGAGCTTCAGAAACTCTCAATCAGTAACTCAGCTGCAATTTGCAATCTGCAATTTGATTAGATGTTGTACACAAACTTTCAAGATTTCTCCAAAGCTTAAAAATATCAAATACTTGCATTTTGGGAAAGAGATATGAATGCTGAAAGTATTAGGAAGACAAATAGCTTTAAGGGAATCTATGTGCAGAAGTTATTTAGATGCAGAGAGTATACAGTATATACTTGTACCACATTGCCATTTTTTGCATCTGCAGTAAAAAAAATATTGGCTGGGTTCACACTTTGCAATAAAGCAAGATGTTTTAAACTATTATTTATCTTGCGAGCTGCAGTATTAAGGCACTGTGGCTTGGGTCATATATCAGGATAAGCCAAAAATAAACCATTATGGCTAACCATTAAGTATACTACCCTATAAATTTAATGTCAGCTTTGGATATTACAGTACAGTCATCAGGTTGGACATCAGTCCAATAAACAAACAAATAAGAATATTCTGTGCAGATTTATATGTACATATTCAGAATCTTCAGCTGTGTCTCTATGTTTTCTCCTGGTTTCATGATAACTGAGATATGTAAGTTTATATCAAAGCTTTAGCTCATTTTAATGGCTTAATTTTGCATTTGTACTATACCAAATTTAAAACAGCTAACAATCTTTAGTTGAAAATAAGCTATTTAAATTTTAAAAACACCCATGTGGTAGCTGCTAGGTAGTTAATTTCCATGCTGCTCTAAAAATACGCCTTTGAAAATAATATCTCAGAAGATGATGTGTTACTTCCCACACTAGTTTTGTTCTTTTCAGAAAATGGAAGAAACCCATTGCCTCCTATGCTCTGGAGGTAATTAAGACCAGATTCCTTGGTTGCTATAATTTTAAATTTAGAAACAGGTACTTTGTGGTTCGTTTTCTAAAATGGCATGCCATTATGTAAGCAATTCTTTAAATTGGACATGTAAGAGAATGGGCATAGTTACACAATAATAGAGTGTTAATTTTTTTCACTACATATGGTTGATTTTAGTATTAAAACCATGGAAATGGTGAAACACAAGTGGGATCAGTTTGGGAAAAAATTTGAAGCATTGTCCATCTGGATCAATGAAAAAGAAAAGGCGCTGGATTCCTTGGAAATACCATCAACTTCCCTGGATGTGCAAATCAACCAAATTAAGGTGATTGGTTCACATTTTATTTAGCATTAAATATTGTTTTACTTTGTCCCTTCTATTAGAAAGCTGCAGAACAAAGGAACAGGCTTTTAACAGCTACAGACATACTTTGACATAAAGATGCTAAGGTAGAAGGTTTTGCAGGAGTTTAAAATAAAATATGCATATTTAAATTAGTTTTAAATTACATGCAAATTCTTCAGTATGTGCGAAAAGATCAGTGGGTTGTGTTTTTGGTTGATGCTCTTTATCTACAAAATATCATCATGGGTATATTTTCACAGAATGTAGAATGATTTCTATTGTAATCTGTATTGCAGTTACAGTATTTTCTTCCAATATGTTAGATAAAATGTATATAATTTTGTGTACTTATCAAGTATTGCTGAAATAATAAAGGAATGTCTGGATTCAGTATTGGTAGCTAAACCTTTTTTACATACTCTCAGTTCTTTATATCGTATACTAGATTCTGTTTTTCCTCTGGAGTGTTAATAAAAATCTCAACTACAAGTAATGTTTATCAGAATTTCTAGAATGTGAATTTCACATATAGGGTTTAATTTTTTAATAGTTTTGTGGTGAAAGTACATGCACATTTCCAACTATATTTAGTGCCCCAAGTATAGTTAAACCATGTATATGTATATTCCTAGAACTTCTTTAAAATTTCCCCACCAAACTGCTAGAACTGCTAAGACTAAAAATACTGATAGTCCTTGTGTAGAGGAGGAGTCCTAGATTTTGATTAATTTTTTAAAATTGATTGTTATGATAAGAATGGACAGTGAATTATGTCAGTGGAGGATAACACCCGTGGAGGATAACACCCGTGGTGGTGTATGCTGTTCCACTGTATGTTGGATTTATCTACCTTATCCTCATCAAACTGCAGTTCACATTTAAATATACAGGATCAGATCTAGAGCATTCTAGATCTAGGTCTTATTCTGGCTTTGGCACAGAAAATTTTTCCTTACCTTTCCAAATTTATTCATTCAAATAAAAACAAATAGTTATATACAAGTTTCTTTGCTGTGTTATAACTCTATTCTTATATTTTTAGATTTTTTTTATTAAGAGGTGAAATTCAACTATTTTTTAAATTATTTCTGGAATTAGTATTGAAGTACAAGTACAGTATATGAACATATCCAAAATTATAGTTAAAATTATTTAAGTATCTAAAAATCCAGGCTCCATGTCTTAATTGAGGGAGCTTTACTTCTGTTAAATATCTTTCATCCTAATTACTGTGAAAATTTATACCCTAATGGTACATGTTATGTATGTATATTTGTTAAAATTATTGGATTTAATGTAAAATAAATCTTGTAAATGAAAATATACAGATAACACATAGATGTGGCAATGTAAATCACAAGGTCTTCCCCAGATCCTTTTGTGTGTTGTGGGTGCTTATATGCTAAAATGACAATGCTTGTTTGTGCATTGTATTTGTATTTGCATATATTTTGAACCAAATTACAAAATACTAACAAATATAATAACATTGTATGATACCAGTAAAATGAAATTGGAAAAAATGCCTAGTACAGAGAAATTAAAAATAACAAAATATTTGCAGAAATAGTAAGCCCAACAAATATGGAAGTAGATACCCAAATCAAGTTCTTAATGTTTTCCTGAACCACATTCTTAGAATGGTGGAACATATGTTTATTTGGCTTAATTATCTGAAGCTTAGCATGGTGTATTTAGTCTGTCCTTTTTCACAACATGTGTTATATTACAGTATTAATAATATTGGATGCTTTATGTAACCTTGTATAATAAGGTGCTTGCCTTTGATCATTCTGTCTGTAAGAATAAAGATAGTCCTCACTTAATGACACAACTGGGACTTGCAACTCCATCGCTAAGCCAACTTACAATCTCATTTCTGCTGCTGTTGCTAAGCGAATCACCCACCAAGTGAGACATCACATGACCGCGACTTGCGATTTTACTGCCAGCTTCTCCATTGACTTTGCTTGTCGGAAGCCGGTTGTGAAGCTTGCAAATGGCGATCACATGACTGCAGGACACTGTGATGGTCGTAAATGCATGCCAACTGCAAAGTGCTCAAGTGACTGTGGGGATGCTGTGATGGCCGTAAGTGTGAGGACTGGTCATAACATTACTTTTTCAGCACTTTCATAACTTTGAACAGTCGCTGAACAGGGCAGTTGTTAACCGAGGACTACCTGTATTTCATTTTAAGATAAAATGCTGATTTACATAATAATAACCAAGTAAGCACTTTTATCTGGCCTCATCAAGATGTTTTTACATTAGTTAGGGTCAACTGCTGACAATTTCAAGTGAAGAAGTTCTAATACTGTCATCATAAATTGTGTAGGAGAGAGGCAATTGTGCATTTGGGAATGTTGGTAGAGCAACATTTCTTTGTGACAACATAGATTAAATATCCAGGAAGATTGGTGCGAGGGGGGAAAAACAAACATAATTACTGGATCGTTATTTGATCATATTTTGGTTTCTGAAAATACAGAAGATGGCTACTGTTGGATTTAAATTAAAGTATGTGGTTCTCACAAAACTATCTCATGTTGATGAGATCTTCTGTCAGAATTTCCTCCTTGCTCTGTACCTCTTAATGAGAATAAGAGTAGCTTCTTATGAAATCTCAGCTTTTTAAGGGTAAATGTTCCACATGAATAAATACCATTGGATCAGTTCATAAAGTTGTGGTTAGAGATAGCTTTTATTTTTAAAATATCACAAAGGATAAACTTTTGTTTTAGCATACAGTAAAGGGAAAAATCTTAAGTGAAAATATTGTCATTACGAGGATTTTTTTACCAACTTTATTACATGACATCTACTCTAGAATTCAGGTTTTTAGAATTAGAATTACTTATTTAGAAGGGAAGGACACCCAATTGCCTCCATATATTTACAACTATATGATTTTACCTGAAAAGTAAGAAAGGGGGTATATAAATAAATAAATGAAATACAAATGAAAGACATGCATGAGAATTGTATGTGAATATATTACAAATAATATAATACACATTTACATTATTTTAAAAAATAATATAGTGAATCATGAACAAAGGTTCTATAACAAGGAGAGAGGGTATTTCTGCCAACTCTTCTGTTTTTTCTACAAAGGCAATTATAGCTAAAGCAGTAAAACCTGTGTGGTATATTTCATTTTGAGGGAAGGGAGCACTTATTCTGACTTCAGTAGGTCCCAGTCTCAGTTGATAAGGTTGAATCAGTCTCTTATCTGAAATTCAGAGAAAGAATTGCCAGCTGTTGTGAATAGCTGTCCAAAGTGGCAGCAAGCTTCCTACAGCATGTTGATGATTATAATCCAAAAGTAGGCAGGGACAGGATCTAAAGTGGGTTTGAATTTGTGGAAGGGGATGGAGGATTTAAAGGGGAAAAATGAATATTTTAAGTGGCTTACATTACCCATTTCCCCCCGAAATCTTTTCCTACGTCCCAAACAACTCAAATTTTGGGAGCTGAAAAGGAATGCCGGTGGGTCACACGCAGCCTGTGATTGCATATTTTGCAAACCTGCTTTAACAGTACAAAGAGAGATGGACCAAGAATCCAAGTTAGTCCAGGTCTGATTTCTATGCTACTAATGCTTAATTGACAGTGAATTCAGTAATGTGTCCTTGTTTTTTTAGCAGTATGCATATTGCTGTGATTAAACATGGACTAATTATTTGTGAAACAATACATACTATTAGTTAAATCTTGCTCACTGTGCTTTTACTTTTCATTTCCTACATATTAGGCTTAAAAGGCCAAATTAGTAATTCATGTTAATTTGGATGTTCTCATAAGACAACAGATTAGCTAATACTTACTAGAAGTAGAACAAAGCGAGAGAATTCCAGCTCAAAAACCCAAGTACATGCTTAACTAATTGCTTCAAATTAAAAGTACATTTATATCAACTGTACCTGCTTTGCAGCAAATAAGATATTTTTTATTACAATATATTAATAATCAGTATTTTTCCTAAACTACATGGAGTTATGATTGATAAGTGCCAATAGTCTATTAGAATTTTAATCGCGAAGTATATTACCAAAAAAAATCAATAACATCACTATATAATATACAACTGATTACCATAAAATCATTTAAGAAAAAAACGTGTTTTCTCAGTGTTCTATATGGAGAAAAATGAACACCCTTTGTTGCAAGAAAAAGTTAAGTTCAGTAATTATATTCTACGAGTAACATACTAAAACCCGATACTGCGATAGATGCATGACATATGATTGATAATGATGTATAACATGATAGATATAGGTGTTCGTTGTATGTATTAATAGTGCCCTCTTTTGTTTGAAGCTAAAGTGATTTCCATGTAATGTATGAAACAAGCCATGATATCGCTTCTTTATGTACGCTTATTTATATTTTAGGCTGTTAAGAATAAAATAGCTGATAAGGACAACGAAATCCCAATGCTAGAAGAGGATGCTCAACTTTTCTCTCAGTATCTTACTTCTGGAGAATCAGCACATATTAAAGCCAAGATGACACAGATTAGAAGATACTGGGAAGAATTCAGAGACCGTGCACAGAATTTGGAAGGAACCATCGCAGGAAGGGCTTTGGTGCAGCAAAAATTTGATGAAAACTTTAGAAAGGTAGAATGCATCAATTTTGTCTAGGCTATTCAAAAAAGACAATGACAATTGGGTATTGAACCATATTAAGACACAAAAGGTCAATTTAAATATTGTTTTAAATATGCTGGCTGGGGAATTCTGGGAGTTGAAGTCCACACATCTTAAACTTGCAGAGGTTGAGAAACATTGGTTTATTATTTGTTTCAAAGAATAATAGTTCCAAAATCCTTCATGGGTAAAATGTTAAAATTAATTTAAAATATGGTAAAATAGATGGGTTGGACACAGCCAAATAATAAATATAGCTGACCATATCCCTGTATTACAAAAAGGTTTTCACTTTTATTTTTTATTAACCACGATCTAGAGTTATATCCAAATCTTAAATTGTGCTTAAAATATGGTTTGCTTGAAAAAAACCAAATTCATAATCAATGGTTTGAAATTGGATTTCTTCAAGCCATAGTTGAGATGTTTTTGAGGGGCCGATACGAAGGATAAAATGCTAGAAGTGGAGAGGAAATAGGAGTCCCAAGGCTCCCTGTGATTTCCACTATCACAACAAGCTGTGGTTTATCTCGATGTCAGTCAATCAAATCTTTATTGTGATCATCATGGCAATCATAATGTCAGCTTAACTTTTGTATCTTTAAAATAGTCCTGTTAGTCAAGAATATTGTTACTGTAAAGCTTCTGTTTTAAAGCACACTTGCCTGAGGATAAATCCTCCTATGATTTTCTACCAAGTTAGCATATATTTCCGACATACATACATACATATATATCTTTAGCATAAGATGCTGTTATTGGTATTTTTAACGGCAGCATAGTAATCCTATTAGTATGGAAAGAATATTATTTTTAAAATATAAATCACCCTTGAGTTCTCAGAATTAGCATTATAAGTAACAAATAACAGTTTAGTAGCATTTAGTTACTACAGAAATATCAGAAAGCAACAATTCTCTTACTATTCTCTCAGACCATATTGACCTTATGAGCTATTGCAACTCATAGGATATACTCTGAAGTATCAAAGATGTAATTGTTTAAAATGATAGAAAATGGCAATGTAACTTTCTTCTTTTTTAAATTCACCAATTCAGATTCAAGAAGACTTATGCAGTTGTGAAGCCAAACTGGTAGAGCTTGATATTTCATGCTTTTCATTAGCAGAGACTTATAATGCTCTCCAAGACCTTACGGTAATTAAAAAGTTGTAAATGTTTGTCACTTGCTTGACACGATCAACAAATAAAATACATTTACTGTTCTGAATAGGGTTATGATGAGAATTGAGCAACTGAAGAAGTATGACATTTTTGTAGTCAGCAACCTGCTTTTTGTGGGGCATGATAAAAGCTCCATTTGGATAGTCTTCTCTCTCACTTGTAAGGGAAAAAAAAGCATAATTGCAGTTGCCTTAGAAAAATTATGCAAGCCTATCTTTTATATGCATAATATGGGAGATGTCACTTATAAACAATTTTGAATTAAAAAAAACTTGTATCCCACAGGTTTTAATTAAATTGGGAAATAATGTGCTATAGCTAAGCATGTATACCTTCTGAAGTTGCTTATATTAAAGTACTTGAAATTCAATTGTAACTTGAATAATACATAGTAATATGTAAATCAGAGCATTTGGGATCATGATGCTAAATGGCTCCTGTGTTGTTGCTTTGTGTTAAGCAGGACCTTTCACAAATTCTGGAAAAAATGAATCAAGCACTGACTTCTTTATCATCTGGCTCTCGCAAACTTACGAACAAAGAAAAAGCAAATCAAGATATTGTCATGCTTCAGCAAAAACATGAAAATATTATGAGACAAGTTAAAGATAGACATGCCTCTTTAGAGACTCATCTAGTACAATGTCAAAGGTGAAAAGGGCCCTATGTTCTCTTTCGCTACAAAAATATTTGCAGATTTTTTTTCAATATTTTAGTAGCACTGGATTAACAGAAGTATTTCTTTATTACAATATTCCACTAGATTGGAGAAGGAATTGTCTACCTTTTTGACTTGGTTAGAGAAGTGTGAAACTGCAGTCAGACCTACAGAACAGCATGTTTCTGCTGACAAAGTTAAACTAGAAAATGAACTACAATTACTTCAAGTAAGATTTCTGGGTTGGCAACTCAAATGTTTCCCTTATTTTATAGTGCTTTCATTTTTATAAAATGACATGGAATTCTACCAATGGTAACAACTCTATGCTGAGTATTTGAAATTAAATGAAACAGAACTTAATGAAATAATCCATTCCTTGAAAGTAACTCAGTGTACTGAATGTGGTGTATAATTTAACAGAAGTGATTGTTGCAGTACAAGTCTAGTGACATAAAGCTATGGCTTTCTTGCATTGAATGAGACATGAAAACAAATCCTTCAGTATTTATTGATAGCCTATCATAGTTGCTGTTTACAAGCAGTGCCTGCCATTAAAAATGATAGGGGACTTTTGAGCTACTTTATAACCAACTATGCCAGTACAACTCCCAACATGCCAATTGTTTTGAATTTGAAATTGTGGTTCTGACCTTATTCTGACCATTCCAGAAGTGTTTGGAGCTTGAAACAGTTCCTTTTGCACTCAGATACAGATGTTCAGCACAGAACATTTCCAGAATGGGTAGAACAACATTGGAGTACTTCTGGTAAGGTCAGAACAGCTGATGCAACTTCTTTGAATTTACAGTATTTTACTAGTCATATACTGTAGTCTGCTCAGTCCTTAAAAGCAGTTCAAAGCAGCTTGGAATTTTCTCTAGCCTTGCCGAACCAGAAACACTGGAGACTGTGCTGGGTTTGGCTTATATAGAGTATTCCCCTTCCTCAAATAAAGTCAGATGGAGTCATTATGCTCAAACTGCTTTGTGCAGTGATTTATTTTATGTTACTGATTTGCTAAATATGTCAGCATCCAAAGTACAGCAAATATCTTTTTACTGTACTGCCTATGATGGAGTGGAGACTCACATCTTTTAAGAAATCAAGAATAATTTCTTCTAGGATCACTCAGTGTGACCCAGCAGAATGAATGCACCCTTAGAGCCTTAATAAATGTACTTTTGCTGCCTGCCTGGGATTTCAGAAGAATGGAGCTGTGTTTCACATCTGGCCTCAATAAAAGATACTTGTGCAGTAGATTCAGCAGATAATAAACACATAAATATCATATGCAACATTTCCTAATGTCAGAATGTTTGGGTCCCAAATAAAACTTACCCTAGTTGTGATGATATAGTTATACATGTTGGTAGAACCCAGATGACAGCATATTCTGCCAAATGATCTAGTATGAGATTTAGTTTCCGTGTTTTGGGGAGCTTGGTTAGGGTTTTTAAATGTGCAGCAAGCTGCGCAGCTTTCAAAATGACAAATGCCTACAAATTTCCTAGTCAGCAGTCAGGGCACCATCTTGGACCTCCTGAAGATTTCCATAAGAATTCTTATCTAAGAAAATTTCCCTAATTTCTGTTGACCTCCATTGAGGAATAAAATAGTTGCATTTTTTATTTGCGTATAGATCTAACAAAATTACATCATATCTTTGAAACTCTGGCTTTCCCTTTCTTCATGTATTTTCAGTATTTGTTTTAGGAAACAAATTCTGGGCAAACTTCTGTATAATGTTAGGCAACTACGTTGAACACCGCAAAAGCACCTTCCCTGAAACCAGGTGCTAGGATTCTTGTATACTTGTTTTATACATGTTTTATTGTTGTTTTATACTTGTTTCTTAATTTCCATGCTATATAGCTGTTTACCTAATGTACATTTTTATGTTTCTCAGGATATGAAAATGGATATTGCGTCTCATGCTTCACATTATACCAGCCTATTCCAGTTGAATGAGTCACTATTTAAAGCAAGTTCCAGTGAAAGTCTGAGGACAATTAAAAAAGAATTAGAAGACCTTGATGAAAGATGGAAAATTCTACCTCAGACAGTTAGCAGAAGGTTTGTATTTATGTAATAATGCTTAATGACCCAGACATCATGATTAACCAAATATAATACAAATCCACCATAATTTTCATTATATATCCATAGAAATGTGGCCACATAATCTGAATGTGGAGCAGGGAGGTTTATAGGAAGTACAGGAAACCAAGGATTCCCTCCGGATGTGCAGTCACTGCAGTTTTCCTTCTTTTTTTGAAGAAGCTTCAGTCAGTTTTTCTTCTGAGCCATAGAGGCAATAGCCGAGGGTGAATTTCTCTGGTTTGCTTTATAACTTCAATGTTTTTTTCCAAGAAATATAGTGATTAGTTCTAATGTTATGCTAAGTCATTTGCTGTATACCGCCCAGAGTCACTCTGCAGTGAGATGGGCAGTGACAAATCTGAAATATAAATAAATAAATAAATAAGTCCAGGTTACATTATGGCTTGGCATTATGTGTAAACCCAGCTAATATTATCCACACATTCAGATTTCCAAGATATATGTCTTGGGACATCATACTCTGGATGTTTTTGTTTGTTATTGCCTGGATGTTCTCTTGTAGGAATGAATAATGGAAGTAATATTGTTTGTTTATTTTTGTCTGCTGTGCCTTTCTTCACCTTCTTCGCCTTCTCTTCCTGATCCATGGTTTAATCTTGTCCTCTAGTATGAATTGAGATAAATTGGGAGTGGTGGGGGGAGTGTAAATGAATCTGCCAGGATGTTAGCGTTCTCATTACAATTGCTCATTGTAAGAATGTTATATACCTTGAAGGATGGCTTAGTCACCCTTCATATTTTTGTGCATTTCCTATTTCACTATTTACAATCATGTGAGTTGTGTATAAACATATATCCACCTGCACTCACACACATATTGACATAGAATAACTTATATTGCATCTGATTAATTAGAACCTGATTCAGTGCTTATGGCATAATATTAGTCATTAAAGACCCAAAAGATAACGGGTGTGTATTTGCTGTATTTTTAGTTTTGCTGCACCACATTAATATTCCTGCTTCTCTGGAAATATATTTTTTAATTTATTTATTTTCATTTAAACTCAATTTTATAGTCAGAATTCTCAGATTGAATACACATTATAAAAGCAGCTGCAGAACCTAACCACTGGAATTATATCCAGTTTGTTATGATGCCTCGGCTATTATATTAGAGTTATTTTAATTTTGTTTTATATTTTCTGATTAGAGGTTTTAATACATATTTTTTGTGGATTGTTGTTGGCCGCCCAGGATTATGTATATAAGATCGATGGCCACATACATTATCTAAATTAAATAAATAAATAAACAGTCCTGTTATTAAGCTTACAGATTAAAAAAAGAGAAAGCTTGGAAGATCAAGTTGAACAATGAGAGATGAGCATCATTTCTTAAATGGTCAACTTTCTGTTTCAGAAGTTGGGTGCACTTTAAGAAGGACCTTTTCAGTATATCTAGGGATGTATAGATATATGGAAGAATATGCAGAAGACATTTCCTGAGGTTGATTAATATTTTTGAGTAGACACATATATGATTGGGCCACAAATGTTTTTTAAAAGCATAATCTCACCTGAGCTGTATGAATTCCCCAGTTCCTTATATAGATTGCTATATCAGATCATAATGGCCTTCGTATATATTGTTGTATATAACCCCAGGTATAAAGGCAAACCTAGTGTTCTGATAAATTTCACTCTTTTCCTTTTCTATGTTTTAAAAGCAAAAACTATTGACAATTCTGGTAAAAGTGTAAATGCCATATATTTACTATCCTTGGTATCTTCTAGGATAATTTTCCTCCAGTCTGTGCTTGATGAACATAGGCAGTATGACAAGCTTCTCCTCAGTTTTTCCGAATGGATCAAGCAATTTCTTTGTAAACTACAACAAACATCGGAGATTAATATATCTGATCAACAGCCTGCTATATTTCAAAATAAGGTAAACTTAGTTCATAATGAACCAAGAAAATAAAAGCATTTTACCAAAGAAGCTCTGAGGCATCTCTAACAGAGTGCAGGTTCTTCCTCATAAGTCCCCACTTCCCAAAGAACCACCTCCATCCATCCTGTTACTTCTTAGTGATTGCCACGGCAGTGTACAGAGAGGCCTTTTCCTATCTTGTGCTCTGTCTCCTGCTCCCAGCTCAAGTGAAGGATGGGCTTTGCAACTTGTCAATTTCCAAACAGCTGTTGCAACCTATTCTGTAGCAGAAATGTGCATCTCATTTCCTTTTCAGGTTTAGTGCTAAGCAAAGGCTTACACATAAAAAAAAAATCCTTACTCTTCTTCTTATAGGAACATAAATTAGAAGTGGAAGGAAAATACAAAGAGCTACAGAGTCTGAAGAGTCATGTTGAAAAGTTGTGTTCTTTCACTCAGCCAGAAGATCACAGTATATTCCAAAATAAGGTTGAAGACTGTCTCCATTTGTATCAAGAGGCTGATCAAGTAATCAACCGCCGTAAAGATGTTCTTCCCCATCTCAAGGCCTTTTTAGAGCTTCATAGAACTGCATCACATGTACTTCACCAGCTGAGACAAAAGGTAGAAACTACTAGAAACATAGACAAGTCAAAATCAGAAGTGTTGAAGAAGAAGCTAAGTGAAGTTGTTCAAGATGTCAGCAAACTGGAATCTACAGCAGCCAGTTTAGATGTATCCCTTACTAAAGCCCAGTACCATCTGAAGCAAGGAAGCTCTGAGCAAAGGAGTTCCTGCAGTAATATTGCCGACAATATCTGTATAGAACTGGAATCCATCCAGTCTCTGCTAGGATCTAAGCAAAGTGAAGCAGAAGCCCTTAGTGCTCTTTGTTCATCCATTATAGAGCGTAAAGAACACCTCTTAAAACGAATTGAAGATCTTGAAGAAAGGGCTGACAAGGAAGGACTGAAAGAACCAAATCTTCAGGAAGTTCAGCAAAGGTAAACATAGTGAAAGTCTGGACTCACAGTTATTTATATGCCCAAATCTTATATTATTAAAAGAAGTACTGATATGCTGGGGAAATACTCTTTTTTAAAATGTATTTAGTTGTGGCTCTAAGTGCTATGTATGAACTCAAACCAATTACCTCAACCGCTACTTAATATAGACTGATTTTAAACTGCAAATATAGTGGCTGAAGCATCTAACCTAATTAAAACCCTTGGTTTTCCCCCATCCACTGTTTTTTGTAACACTTCATGAAGAGATCTGGATAAGTCAGAAATTTGCACACCCTTTTGGGCTATGTTAGTGGGTCCTGATAAAACAGTACCATGATATTTGAGTATAGTATTTCAGATGTTAATGTTTATGTGTAAAAATATTATAATACAACTAGACCATAGGCTGTTAGTTCCCATTAAACATTTGCTTAAGTTTTCCAAAGCAAAGTTTGGAAGTGTGACGTATGATTCTAGATTTTTTTAACGTTGTTTATATGGGTAGAAATGCTAAAACTGATATCAGTCATGTTTATAGAAAAGTTCCATTAATGTAATCACAGTTCCTCCAGAGTTTCCTTAAAGATGCTGAAACAGATGAGTGTGTTATATTTTATGTTACTTTTATTTTGTAATGGTGGACAGAGAAGCAAATTAAAAATGTAATTAATGTTTTGATTTACAGATTAAGGATTTTTAATCAGTTGGATGATGAATTGAATTCTCACCAGCATGAATTGAAATGGCTGATGAGCAAAACAAAGCAAATTGCTCTAAAAGATAAACATTTTGCCCCAACAATTGACAAAGAAATTAATTGTTTGGAAGCCATTTGGGATGATACTAAGAAATTAATCCAAGAAAGGTAAGTTACTTATTTACCTACTTATGTGCCATTGTGTCAAGTTCAACTCCTGGTGATTATAGGGACAAATCATTACCGTTTTAACCAGTCTTTAGTAATAATATATAGCTCTGTTGTAAAATCAATGAGAATTCTTATATTTGGGTCCATAAGCGTAACTTTGAGGCAGGGAAAGTTATATTCCTACAGCAAAAAGATCAGGACACTGGGAAAGTCTAGAGTAGACATCCTTCCCTGCTCTAAAGTTTTATTTTTCAGCTGGGAGTAGGTGGCAATGCAAGCAGTATTCAAATCAAACAACTTGCTAATTGCATAATGTAATTGTGCTGACCTTCCGAAGGACCTTGAAGACCTGGTTCTGCCACTTGGCCTGGGGTGGGGAGGGAACATCTCAAGCAGGGAGATGGCTAGCCCTGTAGTGGCTGGCTGTCCCCGCCCTGATTCTCCATCTTCTTGGATTTTTTTTGTTTGTTTCTAGTACTGTTTTAATTGTATATATGGTATGTATTTTATATATATTTATAGTTTTAATGTCTTTGTAACCTGCCCAGAGTCCCCTATTGTAGGGGAGATGGGCGGGAGAGAAATTCAATAAAATAAAATAAAATAAAATAAAAAAATAAATAAATAATATAATTACATTACTTTATCTGCTGCTACGTATACTTCTGTTTTTTAATGCCATGTATGAATTGAAGTAAATATGTGATACTGAGAAAATATCAGAGAATGAAATCATAATCCAGTAAGAAATGTTATCTGTTAAATCATCATCAGGCCTCAAAATATATTCTGGTGTATATGTCACAGTGATTCTTTCCTTTACAGGCAGGAGCAGTGTTGTGCCCTTCTTGATATAATGAGACACTATCAGAACTTGAAATGTGCAGTTTCAAAAACAATAGAGGTTGCCAGCAATGTAACAGTGACCAAAGCCATGCTAAAAGATCAGGAAGATATGCGATGGGCCTTATCAAAGGTAGTTTTAAAGTATATTCATCTTAAAATATGTTAGTTTTATGTGTATTAGTTTCTTAATCAGCTCCTTAAATCTCCACTTTTGAGGGCAGATCTTTATTTCTTTGCAATCAAATCAAATCAAATCAAATCAAATATTTATTGTGGTCAAAGACCAGCATAGTTTCTTTGCAATGAGCTGTTACTTTTTAAAATGAAATGTGCAGCAGAGGAAATATTCAAAATATTCAAATCAAAATTGAGATATGCTTGCAGAAAAGAATATCACATCTTAAGTTAAACAGGAATAAGATGCACTTATCTACAGGAAAACTGCCTTATTATAATGCTCTGATTCGGTTGGTGAATTAAAATCAACCTGACTTTTTATCCTGTGTCTTCTCCCTGGTATAGACCACAGCAAGGGCCTTACCTGGGTATTTAGGCCCTCTTTAATTTGGCTTCAGGCTCTCTTAGTGTCTGTTGTTTTTACATCCTACAGCGCTCCAAGCATATAGCCAGTTCTGTATAATGCCATATTCAGTTATTGAAAATGACAATGGTAACTACCAAGCTACTTGGTACTTTGCTGTCTGTTGAAGTTGCCGTTACCCTTTCTCTGTAGTGCTTCAAAGGGCTGGTCTAAATTTATCCCAGATCCTCTGGCTACATGGCATAAATCCTGCCCAAACTGTATAACATCCTCTTCCCTAAACCAATTTTTTTCAGTGTCAAAAACAGCTACCTGTAGAGATAGTTGGAGGAGGAGTTTCCTATGCTAAAGTATCCTCTTCAGTCAATTTTGTAATTCCTGTGATATCTTGTGCTGACATAACTCATGCCAAGCATCAGATTAATAGAATACTTCATACATATAATTAAATGAATAGTATACATTCAGTTACAATGCACAAAGGCTGTACATAGTATTTTATATAAATTGTAAGAACAGAATAATAGCAGGCCAACATTAAAAATAATTCTTGAGGGGGGAGCGAGATAAGATGGACTTGGAATTTTATAACTTGTCCTATATACTCTACCTCTGCACTGTTCAGAGGAGATTTTTTTTATAGAGAATTGCAGTCTAAAATAAAGTAGGGAGGGTGGATGGTGAATTCTGTTTACACCAATGGATAACAATAATATTTTCCTGTTTGTAGCATGAAGCAGCCAGGAATGAGCTGAATGATAGACAGACTGAACTGGATGCCTTCACTAACAAGGGAAAACACCTCGTTGCAGAGCTGAAAAAGATTCCAAACTGTGATGCTGAACTGGTAAAAACTGACATGGACAGTACTGTGGACAAATGGCTAGATGTAAGTGGTACATTTGAAATTAAGTTTGGCTAGTTGAATGTTTCGATAAAATATAAACTAAAACAAAAGCTTTTTGTCAGGAACAGAATACTTTATTCTGAAATAGCTTTTCTGTTAGACAAAATTTGGATATTATAGCATAACACATTGCAATAATCATCATCAGCGTGCTTAAGTTGACTTTAACCATGATTTGCTGAATAAGCTACGGTGATGTTGTTTCCCTGTAAAGCTAAGGCAAAAGCAATGAAACCACCTTATAATTTAGCATTTTGAGTATCTTCTCGTTTTAAAACATCTTCTGCTCTCTTTCACCATGGATTTTGATCCATTACTACTTCAGTCAGTATTCTGTGGGTATAATTACTAGCAAGTTGATTCTTGCAGAAGTAATTTGAAACTGAATTGTTTTTACTGTATTCCACATAACACCATGTGGTTTATGGTGTTGTAGCATACATTTTAACATAATTAAGTTTATTTATTTATCTTTTCATAATTGAACAGAAACAAGTTTGTGTTTTTGAACCTGGTAGTTTTTGTTATCAGTTTCTCAGCCCATGGTTAGGGCACCATTTATACATCTACTCCAGAAGATAAGTTAATTGAAGCCTTTCATTTGATAGCAATTTAGTTGGGAAATAGGATTACATTAAATGGCATTTAATTGACAATTGATAATATTTTTCTTCTAAAAAATTTTAAGAATTGAGCAATTTTGAAAAAAAACTTTCTTTCATTTTGTCACACTTCTTTCTCAAATATGGTGAGGAAAATGGTATAATCTAGAACATCCTTGTTTAGCCATAAACAATATCTCTATGACCAGGAGTGGGAGACACTAACCTCACTAGATAGTTAATTAATGACAACTCATGGGATTCATCAATTGAGAGTTCTTTAATCAAGTAATAACCTAACTATCAGGTTGGTGATGGATGGGAGAGAGGCCCAAGGGCCCTTGGCTTTGGGGTCCAACAGGGCTTGGTCCTTTTCTCCCCTGCTGTTTAGCATCTATGTAAAGCCTCTGGGTGAGGTGATAGTTATTCACCTCTATTCCCTCACTGGACAGGCAATGTGGTGGATGTTCTGACTTAGTGTTTAGAGGCTACTAGGATCTAGATGAGGAAGACCAGGATCAGACTAAACTCAGAGCAGCTGCTTATTCCTCTCCCTTCTGTGAAACAGATTGCCTCCTGATATCCAGATGATCCCCTCCTTGCTGGACTTCCAAAGAGCCTTGACAACATTTCTCTTTAGGAAAGCATTTGAAGACAATGAGGATTGACCTGTGTTTGTTGAGTAGTGCCATTAGGGGATGTTTGTTTTGTAGACTATTATGATTTTTATTATTGCTTGATGTTTATTATTGTTAGAGCTCTTTGGAAATAAGTAGCATGCAAGCTATAATAGATTGGATTTAATAGAATGAAATGAAATGGTTTCTTTCATTGCTTAACAGGTTTCAGAAAAAATTGAAGACAACATAGATAAGTTGAGTGTTAGTGTGACTTTGTGGGAAGACATACTAGCAATCCATGATAATATTGAAGGATGGTGCAATAACTCCATCTCCCAGTTGAATGATATCATAAACAACTTGGCCAGCTGTCAAAGAACTGAAGTTTTCTTGGATGAATTTCAGGTGCCATGATACACAATATTTATTATTTCCTATTTTAAATTCTTAGCACACGATAAAATTAGGAGAACTGAGTATAGTATGATTAGATTTTCTAAGCTGGGTGCTTACATTTTTGTAGCAGAATGCCCTTCATTGTAAAAAATGTGTTTAATGAATATCTGCACACTGAGGACTTCTGGAAGATGAAGCCCATCTGTTGGCACATTACAGGCCCTCACTTAACAACTGCCCTGTTTAGTGGCCATTCAAAGTTATGATGGTGCTGAAAAAGTAACTTTATGACTGGTCCTCTCACTTATGACCACTGCAACATCTCCTTGGTAACGTGATTGAGACTCAGGAGCTTTGCAACTGGTGGGCATTTACAACCATTGCAGCGTCCCACGGTCACCTAATTGTCATTTGTGTGCTTCACAGCCAGCTTCCAACAAGCAGAGTCAATGGAGAAGCTGGCAGTAAAATCACAAGTTAGAGTCACATGATGTCTTGCTTAATGACCATGTCACTTAGTGACAGATTTGCCAGTCCCAATTGTGGTTGTTAAGTCAGGACTATCTGTACACAGAATGGTATAACTATTTGTTGTATATCTTTCAATTGGAGCAAGGGTGTGCCAGGAGCAAAAGATTTATCCTTGCACTTTATTCCAAGTGCAATATTTTAAATTTCCCCTGCATGAATAATGGCAAATGTTAACATATGACGGAGACATTCATTTTCCCCATGTGTTCTTTTACAGTCTCAGGTTAAGCACAAAGAACAGAATTTGGAGCAAATGAATTCAAAAATATATGAGCTTAAGGAGTTGGTAAATGCAGAAGAACTTCCACCAATTCTTCTGGTAAGATAGGCTTTTCTAGCTGGGGTGAGGAGCATCCTTTTGTTCTGGACTCTTTTTTCCTGCATTTTTTGGGGGGGCAGAGGGGGTTAAGAAGCAAAATAGATACATCAAATATCAATCTGGAAGCAAAATGGGTCATTTAAAAATAAAGGTATAGTTTTTCCATATTGAAATCTCTGTAGGGAATACAAAAGTACAGAAATCAATAGAGCTTGTACATAATTTTTATAAGCATACACATACATGTTTGATAGCAAAGAGTTACAGAAAAGTCTAGTGATTTTCCACTTTGATTAGCCATATTGACAGGTGTCTATCAATTTCTAGGTTTATAGGAAGTTGAGAGAATACTAGAGCAGTTCATTTCATTGTCTGCAGAAAGAATTTTGAGGTCCATTAAATGCCAATCCTTCTTTGTATTCAGGAACATTTCAGGAGGACATGAATATTCCTTTCCCATTCCAAATTTTTATAAAAATATAGAGCTAAAGTTCAGGACCAACTGCCAGCTTCAAAAACCATCTACTGCTGTATGGTAGAGCAGAGAAAGATCTATAAAAATATAAAAATCATGGTCACCTGATCAAGGACACTTTTCTTGTGGGCTGTGAAAAAAATACACTGTAATATTTTATTAGTAACCATCAATATATTATAAAACTTTTTTTTTTTTTGAGTCAGGCCTAAATAATAGCTGTAGTCTCTTTTACTTTTAGTGGGGTGGTTTGTCTAGTTGTTTCTGTTTAGCTAAAACAAGTCAAATATGTCTTTCATGTGTCTGTCAGTTTTATGAATTTATGTTGGAATAGTCTTTACTATTACTTTATTTTCAGTTTTAATAATTGCAGGACTTTAATGTATCTGTATTTGTTTCTAGTTTTTAGATGCTGATTTAAAGAAGAAGATGGTGCATAGCAAAGCAATGTACGAGATGGCTAAAGAAACTTTGAAGGATTTTAATTCTCAGAAGACACAGTTACATAACTTTGTTACTCAGATGGAAAACTGGCTTATCAGTACAGAAGAATCACTGTTAAACTGCATTCATAGTCAAGATCCATCGGGTCTTGGGACAGTCAATGTAAGTAGCGTAAAACCAAGAAACAGAATTATTGAGCAAATTAGAATATAGGGCACTCACTTTGTTATCAATCCCATAAAACAGACTTTGTGAACAAATTCACTATTTGCAGTCTTCATCAAACCTTCATTAGAGGTTAACTGCCATTTAATGGGAAACATAAAATGTGGGATGTCAGCATTAATGCTGTGCTTAAAAAAGCATTTATAATGCCCCAGATCACATGACTGTAACTAATGTCTTCTGAGCAAAATGTATCTGCCTCAGAGGAATACCATTTTTGTTTCTGTACATGAATTTCATCTATCTCCAAGAAAAATTAGAATTTCATACCGAGGAAATGAGCAGTTGAGAAAGTGTTCTTTTGTTGACAACATATAGATACAGCAACATGATATGGACTATTCTTTAATTTTAAATGCGGTACCTTTGGATTGCTTGATATTTTTTTTTTGATTTAGAAATTATTCAGCTTTCATCTTAATAGGCCAGTTTTGCCCTGACTGGAGGTTTTAGCACAAAGCATGGGACTCAGATATCTTGAAGTTTGGTAAGGTAGATCCATCAGCATTTCTACTCTAAAGCAGCTGCTAAGCCTTGGCTATCAGTCAGTGTTCCAAGGACTTCCCCCATTCTCAGTTTCTCTCCGATGTTGGTCCTTGGGAGGTGAGCCTCAGTCCATGGGATATAGAACTGGAAGGAGTCTTGAGGCCATCTAGTGCCATACCCTACTTCATACAGGAATTCATATTAAATCATGGATCAGCCACTGCTTGAAATACTCTGTGAATGCCTCCAAGTGGATAATTGGGGGGGAAATCCTAACATTCAGTTGGAATGTATTTTCCCATAACTTAAATCCAATATTCTGCATCCAGCTCCTTGGAATGAGAGAATATTATCTTAGCTTCTTCTGTGTGACATCATTTTCAGGTAGTATGGAGTCTGACTGATGCCAAATAATAATAATAATAATAAATAAATAAACTGTATTTCTGTTCATGCAACCCAAAATTGTGTGGGTTTTGTTTTATTTATTTATTGCAGACCTGTCACGTTCCTGACTCAAATTCATTTTATAATCAGTTATTTTCAAAAACCTTTTTAAGTACTATTGCCAAGTTGGGCATTCCTATTCTATACCTGTGCATTTGATTTCTGCTCAGTAAAGTACTTTTAATTTGTCCGTTTTAAATTTCATGTTATTTTTAGCTCATTTTTCTGGCCTGTCCTACTCATTTTGAAATTTATGTCCATCTTTTTTATGATTAGCTTCTTGTGGCATATGGTTTTTAGTGCCCTGGTATGCCTGCTGTTGTGGTAGTGTATGTCAGCAAATGGAAAGAGAAAAGGGACAAGGAGCTCAGTTCTGGCCTTGAAGGAGAGCTGTGCTATCACAAGGGCTGATGAGCTGACCTGGCTGCTAGCTAGAACTGTTGTGGGGAGATGTAGAGACAGCATCCCATTGGTCCAGCCTCGTATATAGGTGTTAGGGACTGGACCCCTGGGAGGACACCCACCTTCTCAGTTGCTGGGGGACATGCTGCCAGTCTGACTAAAAAATGGAGACAGAGAGAAGGAGTGGAGAAAAGGCGAGGAGAGAAAAAGACTGCGCAAAACAGAGTGGCTGGAGAGAAAAGTTGGAGAGTGAAGTTCTCTGAATGTGCAGAGCAGTTCGTGTTCCTGGTTGGGAAGGGAAAAGAAAGGTCCACAGGTGGCTTCCCTGGGAGAGGGGAAATGAAGACCCAGAGAGAGGCCATCTTCACTCTCAGAAGCCCAGAAACAGGGGAGGGAAACAGGGGAGGGAAACAGGGGAGGGAAACAGTAAAACAATTAGCAGGAGAGCTAGAGAGGAATAGTCTCCAGGAGAGAGACTGTATGATATGGAGGAATGACCTTGGGAGACGGAGGAGGGTAAAGATGCTGCCTAGGAAATGATCAGATAAAAAGTTGGGAGGAGCGCCCTCAGCTGCATAACGGGCACAGAAAGAAACTCAGAAAGAATCTTCCATAACTTATCAAGCTGTAAAAAGAGACAGCCGGAAATTTGTACTTTCAGAGTTGTAAGATTTTGTTAATGTAGCCTTACAATAAAGTAGAATTAGTTCACCTGGTCATGTTTCCTGTCTGGTCTACCTGGGAAGGCTGACAGAGACCTAGGAAGAAACCTGACACCAGGAAAAAACTGGAATGGTGTTGTATATACCTGTTGTTTGATAAGAAATCATGATGACATCTGAGAATAATTTTCAAGCCAGCTACCATATATCTCTACTTAATTATCATGCGATCATCCACAGTTAATTATCATGCTATCACCCATTAGTTTAGCTCACTAATCAAAATGGAGTACTACATGGAGAACTTTATCATATGCTTTGCTGAAATCAAGATATATTATATGGTCAACATTTCCACAATCTACCAGTAAGTTTTCCCATAAAAATATTTCAGGTAGGTTAGTATTATTCCTCATAAATCCATGCTGACTTCTAGTAAGTACCATACTGCTTTCAAGATTTATATAGAGAAATTGCTTTATAATCAACTCTGGAATTTTTCCAGGTACCAGCATTGGACTGAGAGGTTTGCAGTCTCTCATACCTCTTTTTTCTATTCTTGAACATGGGGACAACATACATCTTCCAGTCATCTGGTACTTCACCTGTTCTCCAAGATTTCTCAGGACAATACATAAAAGATTGTGGTTCGAGCATCAGCAAGTTCCTTCAGTACCCTAGAATGCAATTCACTTGGCCCTTTAAATTTAAATACTTTCACAGTAAACAGATACATTTGGCATGTTTCTGTCTGGCTTCAGTTCTACCCCTTCATCCTCTCCATCACAGTTTGCTGGTAGAAAATATATTATCAGAGAAGACAGAATAGTTCTGCTTTTTCTTTATTACTTATTAGCATTTTGCCAGCTTCATTGAGCTGACGGCATGCTGTTTTATGCCTCTTACATTTTGAAAGTACCTGAACATGCTCTTTTTAAGCCTCTCATTACAGAGAGAAGGTTCGTGAAAAAAAATCTCTCTGTAATGAGAGGCTATGAGTGCACTATCCAGACACCCATCTGTCTTCTTAGCTCACAATATGCTATTTAGCAAAAAAACAAACAAACCCGAGCATTTACAATGAGGATCCTGGAGGCCTATTTGAATGCCATCCATGTGTTCCATCTAAAACTCTGAAGAATTATTTTCAGCAGCTTAATTTGTATAAGAAGGAGTGATCCTAAGAGCCAGGATAAGGCAAAGAAAATAAACCACCATAGAGCTCTTCACAGTTGCAGTGCTTCCATTGGAAAACTGAGTCCAATATGAATCCTGTTGAACTTTATCCCTGACTGGGATAAATCAATTGTGCTGACAAACATAGTCATAAGATCACATGGACATGAAACTAGTCTTGTAATGGCATAAACACCACATGTGGAAATGCCCTTAAGTGGGAAAATGGGTGAGAATAGATAAGCAGAACAGACCATTGCACAACTTTTTGCAAGTTTGTGTTCTACTGGATTTTAGCTATATACTGTCTTAACAGTCAATAAAGTAGGTTTAAATAATGTTCTAATGTATTTAAATGCCCTAATAATATCATTTTTCCTTCAGAAAATACAGAAAGAGATTCGGCAACAGCAGAACAATTTTGATTCTACACAGGAACTGCTTAACAGCCTTTGCCGCAAATATCCATCCTTGGAGTTGGAAACTTTTGGAGGCACTATAACCTCACTGATAAAGAAGTATGAAACTGTGAACCAGTTGAGTTTGAAAACACAGGCTTCTTTACAGGAATCCCTAGAAAAACATTTCTTACGTGAGTTCTCATGGAGTTTAATAAATGAATCATGTAGCCCACAGGAATGTATGAAACTACTGGAGACAAATATGCCAGTATTAGTATAAAGTTTCCATTTATAACATTAATTCATTTTGGGTCTAGCTTTTCATATAATTCCTGTTACTGAAAGCACGTTTTATGGGTGTTTCCAAGTCCCCTACTGCTTGGTTTCATGGACACATCAGTAATTTTGAAAAAGTGTCCTGGCTATTACTACTATTGTGCATGTGTGTAGGGGCAAGCACAAATATTGGGAACATCTCTCACTTTTTACCTATGTGCACGAGTATGTGCTTTCATTGTGTGAGTGTACATGTATGCATGGACAAGTTTCCTCGCTTTCTCTAACAAGTTTCTGTTGCTTCCTCTATGGATTCCACAATTTCATCCTACTACTTAGCTTCTTCATTTGCTTCCTCACTCCTTGTACTGTATTCCTTAGATCATTGGTTTACCTCGCCTCCCTATGACTTCTTTCTCTATCCTTATCTTAGGATAGAGGAATTAGGTAATCCATTTCAACTTTTATTTTCATTTTGTTATGTTTGTTTTCTTTGCAAAGGTACAGCTTGCGTTCTCTTGCCATCTTCTTTTCTATAGGCTTTTGTGAGGTCTCATGAGTCCAGAACCATTGTACCATTACTAAAATAGAACATTCTTGCTGAATTTTAAGTATGGAATATATAAATTAGCAGTATTGTATTGTATTATATTATAATGCCTGGTATCTACTTTTTTCCCAAAGAATCTATGCATGAATTTCAAAATTGGTTTTCTAGTCAGAAGATTGCAGTAAAAGACATAAATATTGCATCTGGGGACAGTAAAGCTATTGAAGCAAAACTCCACAAACTGCAGGTATGGTTGCAGGAATGAGTGAGTTCCACATTGCTGAGCTTGCAGACCTATCTGGGTAACATTAGGAAATAACTGAGCAATTCTTTTTGTGCTTGATATATATGCTGTCAAAACACTACCTTACAAAGGTCAAATACTGAATTTACATCACAGTGTGCAACAGACAGTATGCATTCTTAATTTCCTTTTATAGTTATTTCATAGAATTCTGATCCAAACCAAGAGTACTATACTGTTCAGGAAGATTAACTCTCTCTCTCTCTCCCCCCCCCAGCTGTTTTGAGTTCAAATTTCTCCCTTCCCCAAAGGTTAAAAAGGGAAAAATAAACTTCTTGATTTATAATTAGGGTGGTCCTAATTATCTAGTACAATCAATCTCTTTTCTTCTAAAGTAAACATAAACAAAAGATAAATTCAGCTGTATGCAGGTGTAATGTGTAGTCCCACAATATGTTTATATAAGATGGGTAGTGTTGAAAAAAGATCTATAAAATCCCTTTCAGACAAACAGAATGAATTGTCCAGAATATAAATAGTGTACTCTGATCTGAATCTGATCAGGTAGGAGCACTGGACTTCTGCAATTTGACTTCCACCCAGTCATTACAGTTTCTAGCTATAGAAATGGAGCAGTATCCAATGGCATATTTACAGTCCAAAGAATCAGCAGGATATAGGTCTGATTTCCAGTGTCCTCATTTCATACAGTTTGTTGTAGTGTGAGCCAGCTTGGTGTAATGGTTAAGGCGCCAGGCTAGAAACTAGGAGATTGAGTTTCAGGCCCGCCTTCGACATGAAGCCAACTGGGTGACCTTAGGCCAGTCACCCTCTCTCAGCCCTTGGAAGGAGGCAATGGCAAACCGCTTCCAAAAATCTTGCCAAGAAACTGCAGGGACTAGTCCAGGCAGTCATCAGGAGTCAACACTGACTTGAAGGCACTGATTAAAAAAAAAATCATACAGTGAAACATAAATCCCTTCTGGGTTTTCAGACTCTTTCTCACCACTAAAAGGTAGTAGATAAATAAAAGTTATCCACATAATTTCAAATGACCTATCAGTTGATATATAAAGCTTAAGTGTAAATATCATATAGTACTATAAAAATACATATTTGTACTGATAAAAACAACATTCCATAAAGTTATAGTAATAATATTAGCTATTTTTACAGTGTCAGCACTAGTGTTTGTACAATTAAAAAAAGGTTTCTTGAATGTAGAAGACTTATAAGAGGACTTATAAGCATATTGTTGGGATGTACTTACTTACTTACTTACTTACTTATTTATTTATTTATTTATTTAGTCACAAAGAACATTACATCATATATACACAAGTAATTTGCCATTTTGTTTCTCATTTATCCAGTCTGGAAAAATTCCATTGTAGCTTATTCCAATTATTTTTCTTATATCATCAACAAATATTACTACTCACCACAGATTAAAGTTATTATATGCATACATAAAGTAGTACCTGTACAGTTGTACTACAGTAGTACCTTCCTGAAAGTTAGATACAAGATGAAAGTTAGGTACAATCTCCCTTCATATCCATTTTTTCCTTCTCATTTTTCACAAATACATTTGTGTTATTTGTTTTATTCAGAAAGTGCTAGACTCTTTTAATGAAGGAAGGACTAAACTGGAATCAGCCTGCCAGGAAGGAGAAAATTTGTGTACTTACTTGCCTAAAACATCCGTGAATGGAATTCAAGACCAGATTTCTAAAGCTCATCAGGACTTTGAAGCATTTCTAAAACAGTGTTTGAAAGATAAACAAGTTTTGGAAGAATGCATTGCAGAGTTGGAAAGGTAGGTTTCAAATATACATGTTATATGTAGTATATCATGTTTATAAAAGTTTATTGTGGCCCTGGACAAGGATATTGCTCTGTGAAAGCCTGTAGATCCCACTCTAGAGGGTCATAACTATCGGATAGATGAAGCAGAGGAGCATTACTTACAGGGGAAACTTGCTTGCTTGTGACAAATCTGTCAACCTTCTGCTGTTTCAGCAGCTTAGATTATCGTTGTGTTGCAGAAGGTGTTCTCTGCCACTTCTTTCTTTTCCCCATGTCCAACAGATGTGAGGGTTTTATGATGTTTTAGGGACTTGATGTTCAGATTTAGAATATCTCTTGCAGAGAATGTGTTTATTAAATAAAACTAAGTAAAAATTAAGATGTGTAGCTAGGCTACTTATAAAAATGGGTAAAGCAAATAAAATAGCTACTCCTTATCCACACATACCCATGTAATATATACCTGTGTTGCCTTATGCTGTTGGGGGAGCTAGTTTTGCAGTGACCTTCCAAAGGCTTGAACAAAAATTTTGCCCAGCCATATTATCTAGGAATTGTACTAGAGATGTCAGGGAATTAGCCTAGAAAGTTATGCATGGAAATATGTGCTCAACTACTGAACCATGGCCTATCCAAAATACCCAAATTAAATTGTTTGTAAAAATACAAAATCATCTCATATGGTTCAGTGCTGTAAAGATAATTCATAATCATTTTAAATCATTCTTGTTAAAGGAAACAATGTGAATTCCCTCCCCCTGCCATGAAAATTATATCATCAACAAATCTGATAATGATTTTCTTGTCTATATAGTCATCGCTGACATTTCTTGTTAGTTCTGTTATATACTGTATGATTTGTTTCTATTCTAGCTATAGGATCATTGCTACCTTCTTTTGAGACCTTGACCATAAAAACTCTAGTTTGAAGCATTGGAAAATTCAGTGCTGACTGCCCATTCATTCTGCTATTTCTATCTGGCCATCCACAACTACAGTTTCAGAGTATAACTTAAAAAAAAAAAGTAAATAATGGCCAGTACAATTGCAAAGTGAATGTTCTGTAAGATGTATTATTGCATTTTTTTCTATTTCAACCTAGAGATTTAGAAGATAATATTTCCAGTAAAAATGCATAATCTTATGTGTGGTGGAAACAAGGCAGTATTGAGTGTTCATTTTTGCATGATCAGAAACTCGTAATAGAGGGTTGGCCAGCCATCCTTCTTGCCATCTGCTGTTTGGAGAGAAGCTCCTGCTTTATATGTGGAGAATCTCTGAGTGATTTGCAACCCTACTTAGAGCTTTCCACCCCTTATATGCATGAGAACAGGGAGACAAGGCTGTTGGTGATATGCAGTGGAAGAACAGAAGCACAATGGCCCTACTTTGCTGCTCACATAATTATCATATGAAAGTTTAATTGCTTGAAAACAGTTTCAGGAGCAAACTTTGCAGTATCTTCAATTTCTTCATTGACTGTGATAATAATCGCAGTTTAGAATTGGTAAAGTTCCAGAATCACAATAATTCTCATGGTCTTGTTTGCCATATTTAGATCCTTGTTAAGTATTTTTAGAACACTTACAGTTATAGTGAAGTACTTTGTCACTGCTGTTCAAAAAGACATCCATATTTTTAAGATACTTCTAGATGAAGTAGATGCATGTTGCATCTTGTATTTATCTGAAAGTAGTTGTACTGTTACGTTTTGTTTGTTTTATCCAGTTTTGAGGACCAGTGCAAGAGTTGGAGTTTATGGCTTCATGAAATGGAGGAAAGGGTAAACACCGAAGCTCTGGGTGAAAACAAACAGCACATCCCAGAGAAGAAAAATGAGTTACAGAAAGTAGAAGGATTTTTGGAAGAACTTCTGCTTGCAAGGTATAAAACCATATTTATTAACTATCTCTTCTCTTTTTATTAGCAGTATGATTATAAAAATGACCCTATATTTTGTTTATGTATTTCAGCTGTTCTGAAATACAGCTTCAGAAAACTATAACTCTGTAAGCTTCATTATTTACAGAAGTCAATAAATAACTGAAGTTTGAATTTGGTTCTAACATTGAACTATTTTATTAAGCACAGTTCACATTATTGCATTAGGAAATAATTGAAAGTAGATCACATATTTGAAAGTAAGGAATGTAATTTTCATACTCATTTTTCTAGTATCTCTGAAAAAGAATGATTTCACTATAATGCACATTTAAAGCACAGATTCAGCTTTGCCATTTTTTCAGCTGTATTCACCTCTCACTACAACTGATTGATAAGTGTTTATCTTGTTGCTGTTAATTAGTCACATCATATGAAACAAGCAACAAGGTAGCAGTTTAAGTTGCCTGAGTGTTAGTGCTCATATCATGTTCTAGTAGGTCCCAAGTTTTTATATTTATAAGGATTGTGATTTTATCTGTTGTGGGAAGCTACTAGCTTTCATATCTGAACCATATTTAAATATCTTCCTGCAGTAGCATGGTTTGTCCATATTCCTTCATAATTATATATTTATCCATGCATTTATAACTCAGGGTTGTTGTTTTTTTACATCTTACATACTTTCTTTAGAGAATCCTTCGATAAACTTTCTCAGAAGGCACAGTTTTTAGGTGAGAAAGACTACAGCACTGGAATGGAGGTCCGTCTGGCTTCTCAGCAATTTTCTGCTTATCAGAACTTAATCAAGGAAGTAAAGGAGAAATTGAGGCTCTCTCAGATAGCCCTCCAGGATCACCAAACTTTGGAAGAAGCTCTGCAGGATATGTGGACCTGGGTGAAGGATGTTCAAGAAAAACTTAGCCATGCTGAGGGCACCCTTGGGAACAAAACAACCTTGGAGAAACGACACTTGCAAATTCAGGTAAAATAGCAAAAGAATAGAAGTATTGGCATGGAAGAACTTTTGTCTTAATACCCCTCTAAAGTTTAGGTAAAACTGAAACTGTTCCCCATAATCAGTGATTGACCAGCCAGGACCATACGTATGTTAGCTAAATTATCTTTCCATCAAATCTTCTTTCTACTTTGCCCTTTATAATTACTTTTATTTTTAAGTCTGATTATATTATATCTGGATAAAAGTAATATGGAACATCTTCAGAGAGTGAACTCTGGCATCATTTTAACACCAGAGCTACTCTGATATCATCATGAAATGATGATGGTCATCATCAGTGGTAAAAGATCAATCCAATATTGATTTCAAAATAAGAAAATATCCATTGAGTTTGTGTCACCAAGCAGCCATCTATTCCCAAAATATTATTTCAAGATCATTACAAAGTCTATCATAATATTTTTAGAAATATATAATGCCAAATATTTACATAATTTTATAATGGTAATCCTCTAAGGGACAGTCAACAGGATGCAAGAATCTAGATTACAATATTGTCCATGGACAAAGCTACATGGATAAAACCTTTTCCCTTTGTCATGCCTATAGTGCAGCTAAAACCATGCAAAACATGGTGGATAGGTATTCTTTTTCTCTATAAAATATTGAACTGGAACTTTAACCTTCTTTTGTGTCCTAGGAAATCCTGTTAATGAAAGGGGAAGGAGAGGTCAAGTTAAACATGGCCATTGGCAAAGCTGAACAAGCCCTTAAGTCAAGTAATGAAGAGGGGCAGAAAGTGATTCAGAGCCAGTTGCAAACATTAAAAGATCTCTGGAGCAGCATTATCAGTACCTCAGTGAGCTGTCAAAGGTAAAACCTTTATGTTGCTGCTTAATTCTGGTAATTTTCTTCATTCAGAGAACACTTTATGATTTCCTGAATCAATTTTCCATTGTGTAAAAGATACTGCTTAAAACCTAAGATAAATGAAAAGGGGAAATTCATAAAAGGGTTAGGGTTAGGGTTCCTGCCTCCTCTTCGTTTGATTGTACTTTTCACCTCACCAGAGAAAAATAGGACCTTCCCAAAAGTGTAGGGCGAGAGATGGAGATCTCCTGAAGGAGGGAAAAATTGCTTCAAATCCAGCATTAAGTAGAATGAATTAAAGAAATGGCAGGTATTAGCTTTCATCCCCCCAACAGAAATGTTGATAAGAAAAGGTGAGAGGGAGGGAGGGAGGGAGGGA